TGCGTGGCCTTTCCTAGTGCAGGCGTCTAATCTTTCAATCAGGAGGGATGATGATTTAAATTCCACCGCTACTTGACATGCATATCTAAATAATATATGCAGCAACTTGCACTAGTTGGAGTGACCCAGGTTTCACACATGCAGGAAATACATGGAAATACTGCGTCTGCAAAAGTCCTGGCACCATAACCGGCGTACAGCCCTTCAGCCCGACATCTGGCTCATACTTTTCTTGGCATGAGGAAAAGTCAAAGCTGAGGAGCCTTCTTCCTGACGCCCACCACTCCAGGAGAAGTCCACGAAACAGAAACGATCCGATTTAGAAACAACTATAAGACTTGTTTGGTTTCTGGGTTCCGATATTCGACAAGGCCTTTGGAATAAGAAGGGCATCATCAAATGGCTGACATTTGAGTCAGAGTTCTCCCCATCACCCCACGAACGGACAAAACGTTGGTGATAGAAATGGTTGTCACGGTGTGGCCGACGTCGACAAGGAGCCCGGCATCCGAGAATATCCGAGATGCCTCAGGTCTCTTGAACAAGGAACTACTGGTTTCAGGAAACCTACTTCGCAACAGCCTCCAACATGCCTTTGGCAAGGGAGGTGCTGCAAGTTCCGCATGGTACTTTCCAGGAGGCGGGGGAATGTTTTGAGACGTGTAGTGACATACCCGTGACTGAAAACAAAACAAAACACGGGCATCACCCCGGAACTACCAACTTGCACCAAAAATCACGTGTTATTTTTCGGCTAGGTCATGGTGTGCGTGGCTTTCCGAGTGCCGGCGTCCAATCTGTCAACTCTTACTTGACGTTTGATTGAAATAGAATATACATATATATATATATGTATAAATGATGCATGCATGTATGTAATCATGCATATATGTAATCAAATACGTTGAATCTGTTCTGCGATGTTTCGGGCAAATTCATGCTGTGCAGGAAAACGGTCACGTTTGCCCCACCCTGGTTTTCGCGGATAAAAAAGCATGCTCTGAAGATCCTCAGATCCTCAGGTCACTCAGAACGCCTGGCTGACGTAATCCTTAGGTTCGCGCCACAATACAGAGTGAGGAACACAAGGACAGTTAACGACAGCTATCCAAATTGAGCCCTTTTTTGTGGGATCCTCGTTTGCTTCCGACCAGCGCCTCACCCAAGCCAGATCGGCCAAGAAAACGTCACCGAGTCGCTGAGGGCAACTGATTTTTTTCGAAGGGCTCGCTAAGTGGCAAAGCCTGGCAGGAGGTAGCACTTTGTGCTTTCAGATGCTCACTCTCACTCTCCCTCACTCTCGCTCTCACTCACGTTTACAATCACTTTCACTTTACTCTGGCTCTCACTCTGACTCTCACTCTCACTCACCCTGACCCACACTCACTCACACTCTCACTCACTGTCACACTCACCCACTCACTCTCACTCACGCTCACTCTCGCTCACACTCACGTTCACACTCACTCACACTTACATTGACTCACTCACTCACTCTCACTCTCACTCTCACGCTCACGCTCACTCTCACTCTCACTCTCACGCTCACGCTCACGCTCGCTCACTCACGCTCACTCTCACTCACACTCACTCTCAGTCACCTCACGCTCACACTCACACTCGCACTCACTCTCACTCACTCTCACTCATCACCACCATCACCTCTCTGGACCCCAATGCCTCTAGATCTCTAGACTTTCTGCTGCTACACCTCTAGACGTCACACACACACACTGTTTGGGGTCTCTTGCCGGGATATCTTTTTCTTGTTTTTTGGAGGTGTTGAATGTCGCCGTGCCATCGCGATTTGCTCTTGAAGCCCTTGCCCCGAAGCCGTTTTTCGTGAGAAGTCTTAGGTAAATTTTTGGTTAGAATATATCTTATAAGGGATCTGGGTGAAGCAGCATGTGCCGAAGTCATTCCAAACATGTGACGTGATGCGATTTTTAGCTAGACACCAAAGTGGCGCGGAATCAATCTTTCGTGTCAGTAGCAAGAGAGCTGGGAGGCTGCTTGCGCGGCAACCGTGCGGGGTTGCGTCACTTTGGGATGTGTGACGTCCTGTTGTTTTGGAGCACGTCTCGTATGAAAACTTAAGTGACATGCTATTTTCCAAGACATCTCTTACAAAATGGTCATTTTGCTGCAATCAGTAATGTCCTCCAAAGGTGTCTCGCAAGAAGGGGTCCAGCAAGGTGGCTCCTCAAGAATCACCTACTAAGTGTGTCCCACAATGAGTGCCCCGCAAGAGTGTCCTATGAGAGCTTCCCACATCTTCCCACAAGAGTGCCCAACAAGAGCTAGGAGAGGACCCCTCAAGAGTGACACAAGGGTGTCTGTCCATTTTAGAAGACTCTTGCACAACAGTGTCAAGCAAAAGTGTCGCGCCAGCGTGTCCTACAAGAGGGTTCTAGCATGTTCTAGAAGAGTGTCACCCCTGTCAAGCAAAAGTTCAATTAACGCTTGGCCGTTGGTGTTTGCGTACGTGCATTTGGGTTCGTGGACTATTCATGGTATTACTGTCAGCTTATCCACCCAAACAAGATTCGTTGTCTGACAGCTCTGTCGTGGTGTGGGGTCCAAAATCTTCGAAAGCAAACAAAACCCGAAAACATCCACATAGATCCTAACATGATAGGATGCTACTAGGAACAAAGGGCATCACTACTAGGAGCAAGGACGCTACTAGGGGCTCCTGGCATCGCTACGACGGAGCATTCTTACTACTAGCAACCGTAACAACCAATAGCTTCTTGCGCCCAAACCGGGGGAACTGACAGTCACCGCCCACCGTCTCCCGCGAATGATGAAAACCTTATCTGACCTTGCTCCAGGACTCCATCGGTCTCACACCATCTGAGGGTGAACATCTGCCGATCCGGTCTTGACGCACTATCGCATACGATCATTGAAGCAACAACTGCTCCTCCTCCTGAAAGCAACAAATTGGTCTGAAGAGTGTTGTGCTTGACAAGCTCTTGAACGGTTGTTCGGTATCCGAAGAGGTGCACGCACTTCAGCCCAGAGAGTCCCGAATCAACCCCACCCTGTCCCATCAGAACTGAACCCATCAAGCAACCACTTCGTTCGGTCGCCCGAAAATGCTCCTTGCCAAATCCGAATCCCAGCCCTGCCTTGTTGCAATCTACTGACTCTTCGCCGCCTTTGGTCACCTTAGAAACTTAATAGGGACACAGTGGAAACTTTATACAGTATCAAGTATACATATATAAGTATATAGCCATTAATTTTGTGAACCCGTCGGGAACAACACCATGGCCTAGACGGACAAGTCGAATTTCATCGGGCTTGGAACGAAGGCGACGGGCCGTGCTGGGAACGAAGGGTTTAGAAACAAGTGCCACGCTAGTAGGAACAAGTGCATCGCTACTAGTAACAAGTGCCTTACTAGTAGTAACAAGAAGCTACTAGGGGCTCCTGGCCTTACTAGTAGTAACAGGTGCCTTACTACTAGTAAAAATAAGCTTCTAGTAGCAGGTGCAATGGCAAAGAAACAACCTAACAGCGATGGCCTCCAACCTACCAGCGATGGAAAAATCTTTACATGCCCACGCGTTTCACAGACGGGGTGGTATTACGGTATAGTTATTAAAGGGCACTTGGGTGCCTGTTGTAACTCCTGGTGCTCTTTTGGCGGTCAGTCTTCCTGCTTCACCTGGGTGAGATAGATATGCCCGTGACCATGAATTTGAAGAGACATGAACAGGCATTGAATAGGCAACCTTCTGAACTCGCACTCCAAAACGGATGCTCAAGTTCTATGACATCACCTTACCGTCAAAGAATGAAGGACCCCAATCGTCGTAACTGGTCTTCCACTCCAGGATTGGGGACAGGCCCATGGCAAGTCACATTCTTGGCTCGCAAGATTTCTTCCATAGAAGTTTGTCTTCCGAACCTCAGCTGAGACGGTCCCTCTATACATGGCACTTCTCGGATGCAAAAGGGGGACATGCCTCTTCGGATCAGTCCTGAGGAAACCAATGTGCACTTCTTCATGAGTCCTCTGTGCTAATACATGCTAATACAGTTTCAGAAAATCATAGAAAATCCAACCCTGTTGTTTGGGACGGGTGAGATTCACACAGGTAGTATTCAAATGACCTGATCCATTTTTGCACACCATACTCGAACAGTTTGATTTTGTTTAAACACACCCGGACCCTTTTGTCTTGCGCAACTGGAATGTCGTTTGATATCAGTTTGTGAGTGCGGGTCAACCGCCATCATTTTGGAACAGAAGTACACATGTGCTCAACTCAAGCGGAAGAACACAAAACGAACATTGACGTACCGATATGATCCGATATGTCTATTTTTACAAACCCAGATTCCAATCTAGCCCTGCCTAAAATGGACCTTGGTGTCTTGGTGTCCAAGTCTGGGCTCCTCAAATCATCTTCGCAGCCGAACGAACGAGCACGCCTCACGGCACTCAAGGCCTTGCCGTCGACGAGTTGGGTACAGACCTTTTTGGGGTCGGGATTGCCGGAAGAACCCGGAAGCTTCCGGACGGAGCTGGCTGACTCGTTCAGTCGGCAAGCCAAACGAAGGTGAGGAAGGGGATGAGGCGAGAAGGACGAAGAAGAAGCAACGGCTGAAGAAACCATGCCAAAGAATTCTTTTCGAAGCAACGCCCCCACGAGCCGAACGAGAGGAAATTCATGGAAAACCTGAGCAGGCATGACGGCTGCTCAGCCTGCAGAACTCCCAAAGCAGCGAAAGCCGCAGCTAAAGGCCGAAGCGGAGCCGCTGGAGCCGGCACCCGAGTGGACGAGTCGCTTGGTCTGCAATTTGGACACTTTCTCTTCCAAGGGCTGCAGGTTGGCGATCAGCCTGGAAGCTGCCTGGCGATGTCTGAAGGATCCTGGAAACAAAAAATAGAACGGTTCCTCTCAAACTACCCGGAAAAGGATTAAAGTGCAAAACATATAAACTACCTACAGAAAAAAATACTCCTAAAACAATGACCAGGCTGCCTGCTTGGCGCGGAGTTGCAAATCCTGATGGGTGGACGCATAGCTCTCTGGCGTGAAGACTACAGCAATCTCTTGGAACAACGCCTTGATCACCTAGGAGCAATGTTCGCTACTAGTTACTAGTGGCTCCTGAATGTCAGATACCTGACTGCAACATTATTGCAGCTTTACTGCGACGTTGTATGCTCATCTTCTGCGGTCCACGGAGCATGTCTCGCCTCGCTCCAGTTGCTGAGCCGTTTTGGAGCCGGGGCTGTTTTGTCATGCTCCTTCTGTTGCCTCCCCCCTTGGGGGGAGGAACTGGACAAGCTACTCCTGTGGCTTCTTCGTGCAATTTCGCACAGTGGCAACACACTGTTTCTTGTCATCGGCATTTTGGAAATCCCGATCATGAATGCAGTGGTTTTCCCCTCGTTGTCACACCTTGGCTTTAATGAGTTTGATTGCTTACTGCTAGGAGCAGGGAACGCTACGAACGGAACAAAGGGCATCGCTACGAGTCCGGGGCGATCGGACGCGAACCGAACAAGAGCAACAGTCGGCTCCACGGATCCCAGGTGAACCGAGACCGACACCGAGACCGATGAGACCGAGATCAAGACCGAGACTCTGGACGATCAGTGATCATCCCCATCATCCCCCAAAAGGTGTTATCTTCCTCTTCCTGTCTTCCCAGCCATGCTTCACGAGCTACACATGCGTTCAGGACGGTCCATGGGATGTTCGGCCAACTTGCATTAGCAACTCATGGGCTCGAACATGTCTCATTGCACACGAGCGGCTATCGCGAACAACTGCAACCTAGGCGGCTGAGTTTGTTGGAAGGAAGTCACGTTGAGCACGGAGCGGTGCAAGAAAGTATGTGGCACCACAACACGTTGATGAGAGGAAGAAGGGTGGGGTTTTCCCAATGTTCGAGTCAAAGGGGAAGCGGGCGGGGTGATTCCTGGTAGGTGATCCGCAAATGGTCACAGCAAACGTCGGAAACATCATGAAACATCCAACAAATCTTTATAATATGCCCTTCCTTGGGCCAATATGGAGAAACAAAAGAAAACATAGTTTTAGAGGCGACCGCTATTAGGTTGGAGGCCATCGCTTCTAGTTGGAGGCCGCTATCAGGTTGGAAGCCATTCCTATTAGGCTCCATTCTTCTCAAAGTCTTTTATCTATATTGTTTTTGGAGGCCGCAACACATGTTTTGGGTAAGCAGTTGCTTCTGTTCTCCCAGGCTGTCTGCTGCTCTCAGCCAGGCTGGTTCTATATTAGTGTATTTGGGCTCGGCCAGTGGCAAAGCCGGGGTGGTATTGGAAAACTAATGCAAAAATGAAACATACCTATCGTACCGATGCTCGCGGATGTACCACCTGCGCTCCGCCAACATATGCTGTGCTCTGCGGTACGGGTTTGACATATCTTGCTCATTTCTTTCACACCAAATTTGGCAGGAAACTCGCCATCTGTCAACTTCGACGTGGTTTGCAGTTCCATGAAGAAGGCTCCGGAAGGCATTTCGAAGGCGTCCTGCGTGATCACTGGAATCCTGGGTGGCAAGGCTCACTTTGTGGCATGTGTGCGGTCCAACTTGGTACACGAGCAGAGAATGAACAAGGAAATCGAACTTAGAGAAGACTTGTCTCCTAGGAAGTATGCCCCGTATTGTTTGGTCCGGCCCCCCCAATATTAACATGCTTGAGAATGATACAACAGCCTTCCGGCTAATCTTTCAAAAAGTGCATTACGACACCCCTCCCAATTAGTTTGGTCCATCAGTCTCCCGATTCTTGTGCGTGGAAAAGAACTGTAACCGTCTTCAAGGGATCTCAACCACCACTTCCGTGTCGGATTCGGGAGTATGCTCCCCCTATGGTTTGGTCCAGCTCTCTCAATATTAGCTATTAGTAGCTTCTTGTCCCTAGTAGCGAGGGCCTCCACCTAGTAGCTTCTTACTTCTATTAGCGAAGAGTAGCCCCTTAAGAATATTAGATATAACATCCTTCTGGCCAGATTTCGAATAACCCTCCCAATTAGTTTGTCTGATTGTTGAGTGTCTTTGCTAACCCCGCTTTATTCTACCAATTCCTCATCGGTTCTATGCCACTTGTCTTCCATCTCCCTTTTCCAAACCCGGTGCCCAAATGGGGTGGGTTCGTGCTTGGAGACGGATTGTCCTCCAATGGATGGGTGGATGGATTCTAGATTCTGCTAGATGGTGCTAGGTTGGTTTCTTCACCGATCAAGAGTAGCACAGGTCTCACAGGAAGTCAATCGGACTATCAAACGAAGCATTCCTCTATAGAAGTCTCTGGCACCATGATGCTAAACTCTTATTCGTCATCAGCAGCCGGGACCAGCATGATTCTGCCCGGAGCTCTCCCATCCCCCAAGCTCCGAGGCCATCCTGTCCAAGACTCATGCAGCATTTTGGCAGGCGTGAGGCTTGCAAAAGCCTTGGCCAACAGTCCACTTGTTTTTTCCCAAACCCATCCTGGATAAGCCGACGCCGAGGTGGAGACTCCAAACCAAACATACGTTTGGTTAACACCGTGCTGAAGTAGATAGTGAACAACTATACGAGCAAATCCGAACACATGATTTGCTTCCCGTTGGTTTCGGATTTCCTCGTGTTCTACCCACTCCAGGATGTACAAATCCACTGCCAACAGGACTCTCACGAGTCCTGTTGTACGGCCCAAGCACCACTGAAGGGGTGACCGAGGGGGAGATGATAGCTCCTAACTAAACATAACTAACTAAACAATGCCATTTGACGTCCATTCGGATTCTGTGAGGAGCCGGGACAAACCTAGGGACCAAAAAGCCAAAACGATTCCTGTCTTCGCAGTCAACACCTGCTTGCGTGCGTTCTTTGAACATGAAGTGACCTTCCATCCATCACATCGCGCCCGGCTGAAAGTGATCTTCCATGATCTTCGGACCTCTTAGGTTGATGTCCTTTCGCCATGCGATCCAACTTCTATTGCTGGGAGGGTGCTCCAACGCAAACACTCCATGCCCGACTCCGGGTCAATCAACCACCCTCGGTCGGCCGTTTCTCGGGAGTTATATGTTGACCATGTCGGTCGCATGGAATGCCCCAGGCATTTGATGCTTCACCTGTGGAGGCTTGTGAAGTTGACCATCCGACACTTTTTGCGGTGAAAGCAGCCAGGTCTGAAGCTGCTCTGATTTGAAGCATCCACTGCTGCAAATCAACAAGGAGCGCGTGGCTTCCTGCGGGACCTGGCAGATTTCACTGGCTGCGTGTAGATTTCGTACAGGAAGTGCTGAAGTCAGTGGGCCTAGCACCCGTTTACTGGGCCGGACGGGAAGTGCTTGTAGGCCAGAAGGATGACCAGAAGGGCAGGTATTCAAGGTTGCATCCTAGATTCATTTTTGGAAATGGTAGCCAGGCTTCCGCCTAGCTGGTCCTTACCACACATCCTGAGAACTACAGTCAACCCTGAGCCAAGAAGTCGAAGCCTGAGCCGAGAAGGACTTTCACAATCGTACCCTGAACTGGACAATACCCAGCATTCGTCCAACCAAACGCTCTCCCAACACCACTCACGCGCTGCACGGTTTGGGGCCTTGACACCGCCGAGTTGGATGAAGGGAAGGGGCAAATTCGTGCCCAAGAGTGCAGGCTTCAACCTGTGCGTGATTCACATTTGCTCGCACGTTTTGAGGGCACTAGTCACTATGGTTGGAATGACATCCGAACCAAAAAGAGACCAACAGCTGCAAAATGGTTAAGGATGGATCATGGCCATCTGTCAGCTGGATGGAGGAGTAGGAAAACGTCTGCCTCTCAATCTCTCGACTCGATGCAAGGAGCCCCATCTAAACAATACATTAAACAAAACAAACAGTTGCCACAGGGGTAGCTTGGGCAGCCTATCAGGAAGGGTAACCTATACTTACAGTTACAGTAGATAACCTTTTACCGCACAGGCGGTGAAAGGCACTGTAAACAGCCAACCAGCTTTGGTTTTCACAGCCAGTGGCGGGCAACCGAATTAGGCAGAGTTCCTGGACTCATCGGCAAAGTCCTGGATCCCGGGATGGCAAAGCACTGTGATTTGACAGCTAAAAAAGGTTAGTCCTCAACACAAATGAGTCCTCAAGCCCTGGTTGAAAAGGGCCAAATTGTGGGCCACATCTGTTATTATGATTATTTGGTCCATTACGGTCCGTTTCCATACTCCGATTCGAAGCAGCGTTCCTCCAACCACTGGGGGAACAGGATGCAGAAAAGTGAACAAAAGCCCAATAGAAACTCATGGCAAACATGTGAAAAACATCAGGAAGAAACACCATTGGCTTAGATTGTCCAACGCGCTTCCCACTGGCAATCCTTCGTACACCGCACACCGCCAGGAGTCAGTCTCCGATCCCATCCCCTCGTCGCCCAGCAGCAGGCTGGCAAGCACCATAGCTGCAGCCACTGCTTCCGAGTTTCCAGGATCCACCAGCACCTTGAATCTGCGCTGGGCTGTGAGGTCAGTGTTGCTCAGTCAAGTCCCAAAACAGGTCTCATAGAGTCAAGGAAGCTTGATCATCTTGTTTCGAAGCAAAGTTGTGAAACGAGAACCTGTCAGATCCAGCCTAGTCCAAGTAGAACTTGATCAATTATCTTTAGTTATCTGTGTTGCACCAGAGTCCAGAAAGCTTTTGTTTGAGAAGATTGACAATATATACAGGGCTTGCAGGGATCTGAGGAAGGCCTCGAACCCAGTGTTGCTCGACTGGTAGCTAACATCTAATGAATCTCCGCGCGTTGAACTGTGGATAATGAGCAAATTTGTGCGAGATGTGTCAGACTTTCGTCTGGAAAGCAATTGAATGTTGGTCTTGCAGCCTGAACTCTCCAAAGCTTCTCTGAATTCCAAAGAAGTAGAATCTAAGTAAGAGCTGGAGTTCTTGAATGGCTACTGCGCATCACTCTCTAGTCAATATATTCCTGCCACGGAAAAACCCGACACTTCTCCCATCTCCCGGAGAGTCCACGCCGGTCGGTTCTCGGTTCCGCACGGGGAAGTTGGTATCAAACTCCGACTGATAGGTGCCCCGACTCCTCGGTGCCGGTGCCAGATGGCGATGGGGGAATGGTGGCGCCTACGTGGCAGTGGCGATGGTGGAAGACGTGGATGTGGGAGGGAAGCCTTGTATGAAGAAGTTCTGGCAAGTCAGGTCGGTCAAAGTCATGATTGAAGTGAATGGAGAAGCAGAAGAAAGGAGCTGCATGGCCACCTCGCAAGAAGCGCCGCTGGGGAATGATGATACAGTATGGTTCAGTGTCGCATGAGATGAACTTGGTCTACCAAAAGTGATGATGTCTCGATCTAGGCCGGTCAAAGAGTTGGGAATCGCGGTCCAAATGTTGCATACTAGGGGCTCCTGGCATCGCTACTAGGAGCAAGGACGCTACTAGGAACAAGAAGCTAGAAACAAGTGCATCGCTACTAGTAACAAGTGCATTACTAGTAGTA